CTAAGCACATTAGCAATTATGGTACAATGCACTATTACTTTCCAAATCTCTGCAGTAAGTTTTTCATCATTAATGGGTTCTGTGTTTTTTTCTTTTCCATGTGGGATATATCATGCACGGAAGTAAAACTTCAAAAAGCCAGACCATTAGAATGTTTACTTACCTCCATTTGAATATGGATTCCTGATGGCTGAGTTTATCCACCAAATATAATCATAAGAATAACCTAATTCTGTAGGAGTTAATCAAATAGCAGGTATTTTAATTATTGTGGTTTATCCATAGAAAGCCAGAATGTCTGAAGTCCAGATTTTTATAAAAACAGTAAGCCGAAAAGAGAACCTCGAATCTTTGTCTAATTCATCAAACTGCAATGAAAATTCTATCGTCTGACTTCTCTCTTGTGTAGTCCAAAGGCAGTTCCTGTGGCATATTATTATGCATTGAAATAGGATGATTGTGTTCTTAAAATATATTCATACAAACAAATGGGTGAGTGGGTTTACAATGTGCCTAAAATAATAGGTATTATCATTACAGATCGTCCTGGGGTTTACTCTTCTATCTGTAAATTTGAAGGCAAAATTTGAAAATATTTATAAAATTGGGTGGCTCAGCAATCCCGAATTTAATAGAGTGACCAACTGTCCTGGTTTGCCCAGGACCGGGGGGTGCCCAGGACTTCATCTCTAAAACCGGGACAGTCACAAGCAGTTTCAGTATTAAAACAAGGACAATCCTAGCCCAGTGGGTGCAAGTTGGCCACCTTAAGCCAGGATGAGATGGTGCTGGAGTTTAGACAATTTTGGGAAAAAGAACTTTCAAGAATTCTTTCTCCTTCTCTTTCAGGATTTGCCCACATTTTCCTCTTTCCACCTACCCAACCCCAAAGTCAGGCTAGTTAATAGTAAACATACTCTTATCTCTGTGGATCGAGAATCAGGACATTGGCAACATCTGGAAGCCCTGCAGAAGACAGTGAAGGTCAGGGAGTCAGGGAATGAGCTCCGTATCACATGGTGTGGATTCGAATCCAGGCTTTGCTGTTCATTAGGCAGATGATTCCATGCTGCCATTTTTCCCCCCCAATATAAGTGGAAATAATAATAAAGGCCACCTGGTGGGGTGACATAAACAGTGCCTGTCGTGCATTAAGAGTTCAAGGAAGTTAGTTATTGTAATTGTGACCTTGATTAAGATTCGCAATTTAGAGCATGTCAGTATATCTACCAGTAATGGCAACTCTCAGATCTAGATTCTTAGGGGTACTTGTTCCTTGTAGCGGTTTTCCGTAAGGGGTGGTTTCCATCACTTAAAAAGCTCAGGTGTGTTTTTGTTGTTTTTGTGAGTTTTCCCTACTCAAGATGCATACATGAAATGGCAGAAGAAAATGTCATACTTAGGACTCTTCCGGGAAATGTAGCATCAGTGGAATGGACACCCAGATGACAAAGTTATCCCAGTCCTTTTGAGGCTAATTATGGCTTTAGTGAAGGGTGATAAATTCTCCAGACTTTCTTCTTTTCATAGCCAATATATTATGATGAAGCTATGTCACTGAATGCCTCATTAAATGGTTCTGAGATTCCATTAAGGAAGGCATGATAAAATTTATTCTCAATCTTGAGGGGTGGGTGCAAAATTGAGGAGCATCGATATGCCACAGGTTGGGCTGGTTACTGGTAGCTCGCTTTTCTGAGGGCTGTGACAGAGAGAGACTAACTACAATCCAGTTGTGAGTTGACTATGGTTGTGACTTGTGAGTTGACTACAGAATTTGAGAGTATGAACTCACTTCCTTCAAAATTTCACGGATCTCTGTTTTAGCATCTACCATGGAGGGTTCCCTCATGAGACAGGCAGTGGGAGAGCTCAGGAGACCCGACTCCACTCCACTCCACTCCTCTCCACTCCACTCCAGTCCACTCAACTCCACTCCACTCCGTCTCAGACTTGTGTAGTCACTGCCTGGGAAGCAGAAGGTAGACTTGTGCCTGATCTCTGATTCTATGGTTTAGTTTACCATGAGACAGGTCGTCAATTTGTTGAAATGTAAGTACAGGACCTTGATTTTTCTCATAGAATTTATATCCAGCATTTACCAATACAGTAGCAAATATGTTTAAAGAGGGGGAGAGAGAGAGAGAGAGAGAGAGAGAGAGAGAGAGAGAGAGACTGAGATCACTCAAAAGATTGAGATGCAGAGCCAGATCCCTTCAGATCTAAACAACCAGTCAAAAGCATCATTGAAAAACGTACTTAAAATATTTATTTTGACTTCAAGAATGGAAAAGTCAAGAATTCTGGATATTGCATGTACAATTATAAAGTCAGGGGGAAATTCAATTATTTTGGTAATATAGGCTAATATAACCAAATATATTCTTATACCTTGAATACTTTTTCAAAGTGTAGGTCGACTGTAATAATCATGTGTTTTGGCTGTTTACTTTCTTTGCATGGATTATAGCAGGCTCCTGATTCTCAGGATGGGATTCCTCATGGGATGTACATTTTGTATCACAACAATGAAATGTAGGATGGATATATCCTGTACTTGCATGTAGATATGAAAGCTTAAATAGTGAAAATTATTTACATGACTTAGTGGAAAAAATTTCACTTGTATCCAAAATACCTGTTTTTTTTGGGGGGGGTGGTTTGGTTGAAGGGCTATTTTTTTTAATTTCCTTTGTGGATGTTGACAGGCTTTCTTAAAAATGAAGAAGAATCTTCTCTACTTTGTGCTGCCCAAAGACATTTAAGTTACACCATTTAAGCCTCAAATGAACCTTAAAACATAACCCTGCTTAGTGGTTGTCTAATGATCCCCCCTGTACCATTGCCTCGGATATATTTTTAGATATAATCGCTTGGCCTCAGGGCCCCAATGTAGATCTATAGGAAAAAGGCAGTTAGTGCTAAACATTTTCTTATGGGATTAAAGAATTTGCATAGGTTAAATAAAAATAAGAATTTGGCCTTTTGCGTGGGACAAGGAAATTGTCACATATGCTCTCTTTTAGAATAGAGTCCTATACAAAGTCACAGTACCTCTACTCGATTTAGTTTTAATTAAAACAACAATTAGGAACTATTTCACTGCTGTCGGTATTTGTAAATTACTTATGTTCTGTTCACTAGGAATGAAAATGTTTCGGGAATTATCCACCTTGTGTGTCACATTCCGAAGTAAATGCATTTCCCTGTTGGAAAGCAGAACATTTAAGTGTCTTCTATCACCTAATGCTAAGAGCATTAGATCATGATCTTAGTGAAGCATGTTTAGGATATGAATCCTTTGTCATGTATACCTCTGATGACAAACAAATACACGTTGAATCAAAAAGTTTGTTCATGTGCCATTGGCTAGTGTTTTTTTTTTTTTTTCCTCTTTGCTTAGAAAAAGTTGTGTATTCAAAAGTAAGAGCGAAAATTTTTTTGAGACCGATATATTCACTCTTGGCTACGTTTAGATTGCGGTGAATAGTTCTGGATTGCAATTCGATTTTAATGTATTTTCTATCAGCTTTGTTTGACTGCGAGGGAATGGCCCAATAGAGCATTGGTTTGTGACACTGAGCGCCCAAGAATAGCAATCAGGACTGCTATAAAAGATGCTCTGAAGTTGAGTGAGTCCATGAAGATTTAGGTAAATATTAGGAATTTAGGTAAGCGGTGAGTAAATATTGGTAGATTCTAAACATGTGTTCAGGTGATGGGCGCGTTCCCCTCCCACAGAGAGAGCTCACTTAATTGTCATTTCAGGAACTACTGAGTGGGAAGAGCTGAGAGGACGGGGAGAGGAGGGGCGGTGTGGCTTTGGGCTCTGCAGCCCATCTGGGCCCCCCCTCTTGTCATGATCCCTCCCCACAGTTTGCGTCTTGCCATTCAAGTGTAAGGATACAGTTCTAACAGCTTGGTCGCCAGAGATGGAATCTTTTTGAAGATCTTAGTTCCATTTCCCGATGGACTTCTTGGAGCTCGGCGATGATGCTTCCCGCCGCCCCCTTCCCCGGCCCCCCACCCCGAAATAGCAAATGGCAGAAGCCAGGCCCTCCGTAAAGTCTTCCGCAGACACTAGCTCGGGCTGGGGTGGGGCGGGGAGAGCCGAGCGGCCTTCCGGGGCCCAGACCTGACGGGGAGAGTTCACGAGTGTGAGTCCGGAGGGGGCGGGCGGGGGGAGGGGGGGGCAATCGGCAGGGGCCCGAGAGAGCCGCCCCCGCCGGGCGCCACGCACCAGAAGCCCCGCCCCCCTCGCCCCTTCCCCAAAGGCACCTGCGCGCCGCCGGGGCGCCCTCCCGCCGCCGCTCCTCTCCTCCGGGAGGCAAGTTTGTGGTCCAGCGCCAGCCACCTGTGCGAGGCGCTCCCCGCGGGCAGGGTGGCGTGAGTGAGGCCACCGCGCGGCCACGCAGCTCGCGAGCCTCCGGCGGGGAGGCCGGCGGCCAGGAACCTCCGGACCCCGGGGCGCTCCGGCGGCCGAGCCCGCCCTGCCCGGGGACGCGGCCGGGAGCGCAGCCCCGCGGCCCCGAGGCCGGG